GTCAGGTAGCCCAGTGTTCTGGTTTGCTTTTCTGCTGTGGTGATAAAACAGTCTGACCTAAAGCAATGTAGAGGGAGAGTTTATTTCATCTTACACTTCCAGACCACAGTCTATCACGGAGGGCAGACAGGGCAGGAACTGAATGAAGCAGAAACTATAGAGGAATGGTGGCTGCTAGCTCACTCTCTGCTAACTCTAAGATAGCCCAGGCCCACCTGCCTAGTGATAGTGCCACCCACAGTGGCCTGGCCCCTCCAACATCAATCACCTCTCAAAACATTTCCTCACAGACAGGACCACATGCCAATCTGATGGAGGCAATTCCACAATTCAAGGCACATCAAGTTGACAATAAAACCTAACCAGGCCAACTGTCATTTGTAGCAGGGTAAGGTTGAAGGTAACCTCTCCCTTTGTAGTCATTATTTGACCATGACAGAAAGCCTTTCTGGAGAGTCTTCATTGGAAGATTTGCCATTCATTCAGGGTCTATGGGTCACTTATCAAAAATGTGCTAAACCTAAATTCTTGACACAAGTTTAAAAATAGCAACTGGAGCCAGGCAGTGGTGGTGCATGCCTTTAATACCCAGCCTGGTCTACTGAGTGAGTTCCTGGACAGTTTCCAAAGCTACAGAGAAACCCTGCCTGAAAGAAGAAGAAGAAAAAAAAAAAAGCAACTGGGATTTGGTTCTGTGGGTAATGTATTTGGTGTACAAGCATGAGGACCCGAGTTCAGATCCCCAGAATCCACATAAAAACCGGTCATGGCAGCACTGAGGGAGAAGGATAGGCGAGGATACCAAAGGCTAGCTGGCCAACCAGTCTAGTCAAAACAGCAAGTTACAGATTCAGTGAGAGGTCCTGTCTCAAAACATAGCATGGAGAGTGACAGAGAAAGATAGTCAATCTCTGGCTTGCACCCATGCACAGAAGTGAGTACCCCCTCACCCCACACATGCAGGCACACAAGATTAAAACAATGTCATGTCTGTGACGGCAACCAAGTGAGATTCATTCGGCTAAAGAACTACATAGATTAACATTATTTGAAACACTGTAAGTGGTTACCCTAGGGTTGGTTTAGAGCAAGGAAGAGGGGCAAGAAAGAAAGGTAGGCAGGGAGTGGAGGCCTCATAGGTCAGAACCTATGAGCACAGGAGGCGGCCATGCTAGAAAAGAAAAGGTTTACTGGGGAACAATGCCTGCCAAAGAAACAAGGGAGGAGAGAGAGAGGGAGAGAGAGAGAGAGAGAGAGAGAGGGAAGAGAGCATAGGCAAGGCAGAGGAATCATTAGACAGATAAGGTGTGCTTGCCAGCCAGGTGGAAGTCCCAAGGCAAAGTCCTCTGCCTGTTAGAGGAGGACACAGCAGTGGGTGGCCTTGTGACACTGCCATATTCAGACACTGGCCAATGACTGTGACTTTGATTTGACAGGCTAAAGCCAACCCTGGAACAGCAAGGAGGCTGTCAGGTGAGGGCATTCCTTGCAGCTGGAGGGGAGAGGGTGTGAGACTCCCCTTGCATAAGGAGAGCTGAGCAGGACTCCTACATCTGCACCTCAAGGCAAGATTCTGGGATGTATTAGAGATGGAACTATTGGAGAGTTTCAATCAGACATGATGGGATTCACAGCTGCATAAATATTTAATCCCTCTTCAATCTTTCATACAATAAATAGCAGAGTGTCGTGTGGCAGCTGCTGCTTAGGTGCTTAGAATGTGAGTGAAGAGAACGCTGTTCTGGTGGGGCTAATGGCCTAGCCAGGGACATAGGGGAAAACACGCTTTCACAAACCTGTAAATTACATGCTGTGTTAGACCTCTGTTCCTCAGAATGAGGCATGGCCAACAGGCTAGGACCACTAGGACAGCTAGCACAGAGGTTTGTGCTACACACATCACAAGCCCTGACATACTGAATCATAATCTGCCATACACAGAACTCCAGGTGGCTCACAGCACACACGAGTCCATACACTTGAAGGCAAGGGAGAAGGCAGTTATCACTCTTAAAAGGTTATGTGAATAGAACTCTCTGAGTAGATTTAATAAAACCATAAGGAAAGTGAGTTAACCAGGAGCCTGGGCTGACATTCCCAAACAGGGAGAGATTCAGGGGAGAAGCTCTGAAGCAAGGTGTTCTGGGGGATTGAACTGACCAGTTTGGCTGGACAGTGATAAGCCAAAAGGCAAGAGTCAGAAAGATGGAGGGGCCGGGGACAAGATGGTTAGATGTGATAGGGCCTCTGTGGACAGTGGGTAATTCAGCTGTCCAAATGATACAGGGAATTGCTGCTGAGCCATGAGTGACACAGTATGCTTTTAAAGGGTCACACGGGCTGTTGTACTGTGAAGACTGTAGAGCAGAATCAAGGAAAAAGTCTGTCTCTGTCTCTGTCTCTCTCCTCCCCTCTCCCTCTCTAGTTTGGTTTTTTGAGACAGGGTTTCTCTGTGTAACAGCTCTGGTTGTCCTGAAACTCACTCTGTAGACCAGGCTGGCCTTGAGCTCACAGAGATCTGCCTACCTCTGCCTCTGCTTCAGCAGTGCTGGGATTAAGGTGTGCACCACCACTGCCCGGTTTAGGAAGAAGTCTCTTTAGGGGAGCAGGAAGTAGGTCCTGTAATAACTTTAGGAAGTTTAGGAAGAAGTCTCTTTAGGGGAGCAGGAAGTAGGTCCTGTAATAACATAAGCAAACCCACAGATAGGTCAAACCTGTTACAGAGAAGGCATGATTCTGGGGAAATTTTTTAAAGTGGGTACAATACGATATTACATATGTATTTGATGATTAGCAAGAGTGGCATCACTTTGTTGCTGAGGGTGATCTTGAACTCACAATCCTCCTGCCTCAGTCTCCTGATTGCCAGGAGTGCAGGAATGTGAGACCATGTCCAACTTTACATGACTTCTTGATGTACATAAAGAATATAAGACAGTCAAGGTTAGCTCCCAGATTTTTGGCCTACACAGTGGGAAGGAGTGTGAATAAATGAGGTGGGAAGGCTGAAGGCGAGCACATTCTGAGGAGAAAGATCCAAGAATTGCCTTAAAAGAACAATATATCCAAAAAATATGTACTAGAGCTTGGGTTTAGAAAGGCTGGTTATAGGTGTAAATGTAGGAACCATTGTCTTCCACAAAGAAGTCATATAGAAACAGGCTGTCTGTATTGCACAAGTCATGCTGGTAAGATGGCTGCCTCCATCAAAACACATCTCTGCAGAAGTCACCTTGACATGAACTTACTCTGAATGCCTCCTGTTGTAGAAAATTATTTTAAGATGTTACATTTGTTTATGCTATGGAACATTTGTTTAATGATGTAATGATGTGTTATATTCTTTTATGTTGCATTTGTTTAATTCTGTGAAGCGGTGGTACTTTGCCTATCCAAAACACCTGGTGGGTCTAATAAAGAGCTGAATGGCCAACAGGAAGTCAAGAGAAAGGATAGGTGGGGCTGGCAGGCAGAGAGAATAGGAGGAGGAAAATAGAGAAAAAGATCTAGGAGCAAGAGAAGGAAGAGGACTCCCGGGGCTAGCCACCCAGCTACAGCTACTTACTTACCATGGAGTAAGAGGTAAAAAAGGTATATAGAAGAGCCCAGAGGCAAAAGATAGATGGGATAATTTAAGAAAAGCTGGCTAGAAACAAGCCAAGGCCAAGCATTTATAAGTAATAATAAGCCTCTGTGCATGATTTATTTGGGAGCTGGGTGGTGAGCTACCCCAAAAGACTAAAAAAAAACAACTAGTCTGCCCTAGGTTATATATAACATGTAACTTCAGGTGCAAAAAATAGTCAATACACCTTAATATGTTTTTCAGTTCTCAAATGAAACTGCAAAACTAAATTCACTTAAAAAAATAGGAAAACCCTGAAAATTAAAAAAAAAAAAAGTCATCTAACATCAAATCAGTTTTTGGATTTCCCATTGAGAATAGGTAAGATTCCCCAATAATCCTTCTTGGAACACATTTTCATTTAAATCTAGCACAATTTAATACAATACAGTTTCATACAGAATGTTGGTATTTATAGTTCATGCTGTTTCAGGCCCTGAAACATTTATTAATATTATTTGCATTTATTATCCATTTGATCCTCAGTCTTGAGGGAGGTCTCCATTCCACATCTGATGTGACCAAGATTTGGAGACGTTCTATTATGAGTTCATGGTGAAGTAACAGGGAGATTCAAACTCCCAGCTAATGACAAGTGCCCAATTTAGAAATGCACAGGTCAGCCGGGCGCGGTGGCGCACGCCCAGCTACTCCGGAGTAGTCCCAGCTACTCGGGAGGCTGAGGCAGGAGGATCGCTTGAGTCCAGGAGTTCTGGGCTATAGTGCGCTATGCTGTGCACGCCCAGCTACTCCGGAGTAGTCCCAGCTACTCGGGAGGCTGAGACAGGAGGATCGCTTGAGTCCAGGAGTTCTGGGCTATAGTGCGCTATGCTGATCGGGTGTCCGCACTAAGTTCGGCATCAATATGGTGACCTCCCCGGAGCGGGGAGCCACCAGGTTATCTAAGGAGGGGTGAACCAGCCCAGGTCGGAAATGGAGCAGGTCAAAACTCCCGTGCTGATCAGTAGAAATGCACAGGTCAACAATAAAATCTGAAGTTGACAGAATCTTTTACTTTCAAATAATGAGTTCTTAAAAATGTATTGGTTTTTATTTTGTATGTGTACATTTACAATGGTGTGTATATGTGGCAAAGACAACCTGCAGGAGTCAGTTCTACCTTTTCATCATGTGGGTCACTAGGGTTGTAAGGCTGGGTGGCAAGTGCCTTTACCCACTGGGCCATCTTGTAGGTCCTTGATTAAATACTGCTAAGTGCCAACCTTCTACAGTCAATATCTATGACACATGATTTCCATTTCAAGCCATACTTTACTTGCTGACTTCTGAGCAAGCTGATACTGATGATGGAATTAAAAAGAGGGCACTTTCAGATTTTATCTGTAGTAATGCTCCAGTGAAATAATATAAGGTATTGCCAGTTATTTATTAAAAATTTATTTCATGTAATAAATTATACAATTTATTTTTATTTTTAAACAGTCTATACCAAAAATATTTCTGGAAGTGTTTCTCGCTTTTGGTAATATACAGGTCTGCATCACAGTCTCACAGCTCCCATCCCCACCACCACCCCAGTTACACAGTCAACTCGGCCTTCCTTCACCTTTCTCCAAAAGCTCTTGCTGGCACCACTTAAAAAAATAAATAAATAAATAAATAAAAAAACAAAGGGTTGGTATAAACACGATCTGGCTTTGTCTAAGGACTTAGGTTGAACTGCAGAATATTGACTGGTATATTACAGAGACATATGCATTAGCTGTAAAATCATCATCTTATGTCACATAGACCATGAGGCCAAAATGAAAATAAAATTAAGGCAATTTACTAAAGGAGGCAGCAAGTCAGACCTGTGGAGTAAGGCTGTCCAAACAGTAGAACCAACAGACAAGGAAGCACCCATCACTGGCTGGATGAACCCCACCCACCACAGGCAAGCAAGCATGCATGCATGCACACTTGTTACTAGCATAGCAAATTGGTTCTTATAAAATTATTCAGAGATTATGAAATTTCTGAAATTAACCAACTTCTAAGCATATAAAACTGGGTATTTTTCAACTCAATATAAGGTCAATCACATCAATGTAAAACACAAAACCATTTTGGGCTTGGCAGACATTAGTGCATCTTAAATTTCTAGGCAAAGCAAATCCAATTTTTATAAGTAACAAATATATATATATATATATTAATTTTTTTCTGAGAACAATATGAATGAAGATTCATGTTTTCCAAAGCTATCTTTAATGTTAGTCACCTACTTCATGGAAAAGATATAAAATTGAATTTGTTAGAAGGAGGTCACTATTTTAATATTATCAGGAGTTTAAAAAGCAAGTTGCATAAGTTCCACTAAAACCTGTGGAAGCCATTGGCATAGATGTATTCTACAGCTAGGGCCTCAATGACAGTTCTTACTGTCATGTGGTTATAAGAAATGGAATCATTGAATAATTATGTGCTAGTAAAAACAAGCTAGTAAAAAATTAATTTAATTAAATCATATTTAATCAAGGGCCTATTGGTGGAACAGAACTGTATTACATAACTCATCTTGTATAACTTTGTTCAACTGTTACCAGAAGCCAATAGGCAGCTTCATAGTTAACACTGGATCCAAGGCTGCTGTCACATCTTTCCCTGACAGTGAGAAAGCATCAGCAGAGACTTTTTTCCCTGCAGTGTGAGTAAGCCACAATAGTGACCAAACATTCTGTGATTCAGTTTTCTTCTCTAAGCAGACTAGTCCAGCGCAATGACTTTAAAAACCAACCTCCAAAATCTACCTTATGCCTTATTCATAAGAGGAACTGGGCCAGGAAGATAGTAGCAGTGTCTTAGGCAACAACTGGAATGCTGTCCTCCACTGCCACAGTCTAAGGCACCAAAGGCAGATCATAAAGCATCCCAAGCAGTGTAAATGTTTCATGGCCGATACTTAGGTACAGTCCTTTTAAAATGCATATGTGAACAGGAAGGAATTAGTAAGTTCCATAGGGTTGAGGGAGAAGGCAAGTCTGAAAACAAAGAACTATTCTATCCTTTTAAAAAACTGAGTTCTGTGACTTTAGGGTCAAGCTTGGAGCCAGGAAGAACAGCTGGAATTTAAAACTACTTAAAAGGGAAAGTGTTAATAACCAAACTGCAGCAGATTTTATGCACCAGGAATAAATGTTATACCATATCTATCATTCACATGTGAGCTCACGTAATTTATCTTCAATTAGAATTATTATCCATTCAGCAGCTGAAGCCAAGAACTGCTGATACTCGGCAGATGAGGAAGCATCTTCAGTCTCTGGACTCTGGCCTTTCTTAAACAAAATGATGATCACACAATATAGATCACTTGTTCTAGAAAATCGTATTGGCCTGATGCGTAGGAAGCTGCACTGCCAGCATTTCCATTGATAGCATTATCTGACCCTCCTGGGCTCCATGGAGACCGGGCTTCTGTAGCTTCATCAGGTCTATAGTGCAGACTTGCATCCACCACAAAAACAGCACATACCTTTTCAATACAGGATTTACTACCATGTAACCAGTCACTATAGACTTAAGAGCCATTTCAGTGTCTGGCCCACAGAGTGTAGAATACATTTAGGAATCACTTAGATACCTGGAAGAGCTCTTTATCTCCAGCCAGCCAGCCTTGACTTCCATGGGCATCTGTGGCTCCCATAGCCCAATACTCAGCATCTGGCTGAACTCACCTTTACCCTCTAAGATCATGCACAAGAAAGACCGTTTTTCATACACAGGTCAGTGGCACTAATACAAGCAATAGAATCTGGAGGTCAATGCATTTGGCTCATTGTGTTGGAAGAGTATGTTTCAGGAAACATTAATGAGTGTTTCAGTTCAGAAAACTGGTTTCTCTTCGGAAAAGCAGGCCAACCTTTCTCTTGCAGCATTTAATACACTATGAGCAAATCTACAAAGACATTTCCCCAAATTATTTCTCCATGGACCTTTCCCCGTGAGTATGTCTTGAGTGGAATGACACTCCACAGAGCAGGTCTGAGAGATATGGCTTTGGCATTTTCATAGTGGCATTTTCAAGAGGCTTCATTAATTCCCCAGTCTGTTTTTGTTTTAAATTAACAAAAACCACTGTTAGAGCCATTGAGTCTATAATTTCAGACACTTAGACACACACACACACACACACACACACACACTCTCTCTCGCACGCACGCACGCACGCATACACAGAGTACTGCAAACCTATATATTCTCTTTCTGCCTATATATAAAACATGGGTTTGCAGTACTGTATAATTTTGACCTCCTTAGCAAGAACATGTTCAAAGCCAGGCATATTAGTTCTGATGGTGGCCGAACATACTACCTCAGTGAACCAGTCAGTTCACAAAGGCTGCTTAAAGCCAAGACAGCATGGGGAAGTTTTCAGTTGCCCAAATGGAAAAATGAGCAGGTTCTATATAAAACAATTTATAACCACTTGTTTAGAACTAGTGATTCTGGCTGTCTCTATGCAGTAGACTTGGTAACATTCACAGAGCTATCTTTTTTGATATGCAGTCACATGTCACTGAGATATGGTCTACAAATGTATAATTAGCTGATTTTTTACATATGTGAACAGCATGATACATACTGAACAAACCAAGAGAGGCATCATATCTAATGGGACCACTGACTTCCATGAAGCCCACCACCAATAACAATGCCATCAGGCAGCACATAACCAAGATGCTGCATAAAGCAACTTTACTGAGGAGCTCATTTCCTTGACCCACATCACTACTGACATTTTGGAGAATTCTTTTTCGGAAATCATGTGTTGGGCAGTAGGTAAGATGTTGAGCAAAACTGCTGATTTCTACCATTTAATGTCACTAGTACCAGTTTGGGTCTATATGTTGCTTATATATAATCAAGCCATCCCAGTTAAGAACAACTGCCCTTAAGTTTATATAGTCTATGTCTTGGCTCTGCTTCCTTGAGGAATCCCTTTTATAGGCAAAGAGACAGCTAAACAAACATCTAGTATTTAGCAACACTAGAAACATCTTTCTCAATTCATGTGATAAGAAACAAAAGAAATCTTTGAATGCTGGAGAATGGCTAAGAAGAACTCTGTATTTCAATGAGAATTACAGGTAACTTTACAATTTATATTAGTAAGAATCATCTGAATTGTGTTGGTTAACTAATATAACAATCAGAAAAAGTTCACTGCAACTGCATTTTATAACCTGTTAAGAATCATAAGGACTGAAGTATTCTTAAGGATAAAAAAGCAGCAATCACCAATGGCTACACTCAGACCAGTCTTTTCCTTGAGAGAACATTCTTTATAAAATTCTCAATTCAAAAACTTTACATATATCCTTTAAAGTGCTTATATGAACTGTAGCAAAAAGAAACCTTTATCATGAAGAAGGTCATTGGTCCTTGTCACCAAGCACATTATCTAGTTTCAAAGCCATTTCCTCAATGTCCACATCTCCAGTTCTGTCATAATCGTCAACTCCAGATACACTTGCTTTATTTTGTTCTTTTCTTACTGTGTTTAAGCACTTCTCAAGTCTCTTTATGAACAAGTCAACATCCTGTGTCTTCATCCCAATGGCTGCTGCCGCATTGAGGTAAGCACAAGGGTAATTATCTGTGTGGGACATGAAGCCTTGGAAAGTGTAGCCACTCACAGTTTGCACAGACCCAAGAGGCACAGCCCTGAAAGGAAAAAGATTTATCAACCTGATGTGTCTGGTGATGTTAATAGATGCCACCCAGAAACAAGGCACCTGTCTCACTAAGCCATATAACCACCAATTAAGATGCTGAGAAACAGCATAAATCATGACCTATGCAAACAAACTGTCAGCTTTAAATGAAATTGTAAAATACAACTGAAAAGTCTGCCAATCAGTGACTATTTAGTTAGCTTCTATAATAGAGAGCAAGAAGCTCAAGGAATCCCACCATCTTTATATCTTCTTCAAAGTAATACGTGATAAGAAATTCAGTTTTGTGCCAAATCCAGAAGCTGATGTCAACTGTGTAAGCCAAACTACTTTGTTTTACCGTTATCTCACCATCAACAAATGACAATTTCAATCATGCAACTAGCACTGGGTAATGAAAGGGCTCACAGTGAGACCTAGAAACTATGTAACTGCTTCAGTGGGTGGAGGTCAGTAGACAGCAACAGTCAACAACAGTATATGCATTATTTAAGGTTGATTTCCATAGCATCCTTAGGCTCAAGCAGATTTCTAATCTTTTATTTTTTAAGAAACTAATTAAAGGCCAGGAGGTGGTGGCACACGCCTTTAACCCCAGCACTCAGGAGGCAGAGGCAAGCGCATCTCTGTGAGTTGGAAGCCAATCTTGTCTATAGAGTGAGTTCCAGGACAGCCAGGGCTATTATGCAGAGAAACCCTGTCTCAAACACACACACAAAAAAAGAAGAAAGGAGGGAGGGAGGGAGGGGTAAGGAGGGGGGAGGGAGGAGAGGAAGGAAGGAAGGAAGGAAAGAAGGAAGGAAGGAAGGAAGGAAGGAGGGAAGGAATCGATCAAGGTCAATCCACATATAAAGACAAATACTAGCCTCTTACAAAATCTTTTTAAAATCATCAAAACTGTACAGCATACAGATGGTTTCTCAAGCTGAACTGACCTAAGATTTATTTTTCTTTGAACAAGCTGTCATTTAGCCAGCTGTGATTAACACTGGAAGAGACAGGAGGATCCTGCGTCAGAGTACATCACAAGACACTAGCTCAAACAAAACAAAACAATGGAGCCAGAGATATGGCTCAGTGATTAAGAGCTCATACTCTTCTTGTAGAAGACCCAGAGGATCCAAATTGCATTACCAGCACCCATATCAGCTAGTTCACAACCTGCCTATGACTCCAGCTCCAGGAAGATCTGATCAAAGCACAAATAAAAACCTTTAACACAGGCATTTTATCCTCTGCAAGGATGGTGGTATGAGTAAGAATGGCTCCCATAGCCGGGTGTTGGTGGTGCAAGCCTTTAATCCCAGCACTGGGAGGCAGAGGCAGGCAGATCTCTTGTGAGTTCGAGGCCAGTCTGGTCTCCAGAGTAAGTGCCAGGATAGGCTCCAAAGCTACACAGAGAAACCCTGTCTTGGAAAAAACAAACAAACCAACAAGCAAACAAAAAAAGAATGGCTCCCATAGACTCATACATTTGAATGCTTGTCATCAGAAAGTGATACTACTTGTAAGGATTTACTTAGAAGGATTAGGAGGTGTGGTCTTGTTGGAGTGGGTGTGGGCTTGTAGGAGGAAGTATGTCCATGGGGGTGGGTTTTTGAGGTTTCAGAAGCCCAAGCCAGGCCCAGTGGCTCTCTCTCCCTTTCTGCTGCCTGCAGATATAGATGTAGAACTCTCAGCTATTTCTTCAGCAACATGTCTGCCTGCATGCCTGTCACTATGCTGAAACCTCTGAAACTATAAGCAAGCCCAAATTAAATGCTTTGCTTTCTAAGAATTATCATGGTCACAGTGTCTCTTCAAGGCAATAGAACACTGGGACAGTTAGTCAGAGTAAAATGCTTTTGTAGAGATGTAATGAAAGCATTTAGAGCAAGATACATCATTTTTCCCTAATGTAAAATTGCTGATTTTGATGCCCACATACATGTGAGTGGAAAGTATGCTTCTAAGATAATACTTGGTCAAGAAAGGCATAGCTCTCTTAGTTCAGTGTTCTGAATAGTTTTTATTGTCAACCTAACACAACCTAAAGTCAACTGGAAGAGGGAACCTCATATCAGACTGGCCTTGGGTTTATCTGTGGGATATTACCATGACTGCTAATTAATCTAGGGGGGCTCAGCTCGCTGTGGGCAGTACTATCCCTAGACAGGTGGTCCTGGACTATTTAAGAAAGCTAAGAATGAACAAGTCAGAAAGCATCTTTCCTCTATGGTTCCTACTTCAGTTGCAGCTTGAGTTACTACCCTGGCTTCCCTCAATGATGGACTATGAGCTAAATAAATACTTTCCTTCCCAATTTGCTTTTGGTCAGAGTGTTTTAATCACAGCCTAGAGTATAAGCTAAATACTTTCCTTCCCAATTTGCTTTTGGTCAGAGTGTTTTAATCACAGCAACAGAAATCTAACTAGAACAATTAGAAAACATTATTTCCTTAGCACCCTTGTCATTTGAAATTGATAGCAAAGATGACTTATTTCAAGTCTACTCTTATAATGTGACAGTACTGAAGATCATCTAAGAAAGAATTAGACAAAAATCTACACAGAAGCTGGGCCTTGCAAGACAGGAGGCTTGCAAGTTCTAGGCCTGGCTGAGCCATGTAGTAAGTTCAAGTTCAGCCTAGACAACTTAGTGAGGCACTGTCTGAAAAGAAAAAGAGAGGTGGGGATGTATCTGTGGGCAGGTGCTTACCATGCATGCCTTGGAGCCTAGGTTCAATCCCTAGAACTGTAGCAGCAAAAACAGCAGCAGCTGCAGCTGCAACAACTCCTCATCCTCAGAGGTACTAAAACAAACAAGACTCCTGTCTTCCTGTTTGTGACCAGAGTCCAGAATAGGGTGTTAATAGCCTCACAGGTTCATTACCTCATTGTTCTTTGGCCACAGAAGTTTCAGGCATGATTCAGTACACAAAGAAGGACTACTGATGAGAAGTCCTTGATTAAACTTTTTCTTTTTTTTTTTTAAAGAAAAGCCAACATAAGCACTTTTATTTCAATAAAACCTGAAATTCATTATGTGGTATGGGACTCAGACAAAAAAATATTTATCTCACCAAATCACCACACAGTACAGAAAAAGACAAGAAAAGTTAAAGAAGAAAAAGCCAGGATTCTGCCAGAATCAGCAGAGAGCTAAGCAACAAACCCAGGAAGTAATAAGGCCAAAATGATGGCATCATTGTCTTGGTCAACACTCTTTATCACTGGGCTTTCATTTGTTGGCATGCACATAAACAGTATCTTTCTTCCATTTGAACTTTCAAGTTCTTAAAACTTAGGAAGTGGAGCTTCGAAGTTATTAAGATTACAAAAGTCTTGGAAATCCATTAGAAAAACCATAGGCTGAAACCAAAACATGTCACAAAAGCTACAGATGGTCCTGCTGGCAGAGGAACAGACACATATTGTGCCTAGAGGTGACATCAAAAGCAATAAACTCATCTCTTCAATCTACTCACCTGGCTCCAGAAACTTGTCTGGTAAAAAGCATTGAGCCAAGCTGAGTGACAGCTTTGTCATGTTGTCCATCTAGTGTCCCAAGTGTCATAGCTAGAACAAAAACAAAAGAAATCCAACAAGCTTTTGAATTACAAAACCCACCAAAGACAAATAAGATTAAGCAACTACTTTCATTCACTGTTCCAAAGCATAACAGCACTTTACTGTACTTGATAAATTATAGCAAGGATTGTTTCCATATCAAACACAATTCTAAGCAAACATGTTCACAAATCATGGGCAAAATTTCCATATCACTGTGATCAATGGAGCTGCTAACTGAATGCAACCAAGTTATAAGAACTTAAGCATATTATATGTATATATCTCAGTACATATAAGCCCAGGATCAACTTCTGCATACACAAATGTACAACTGTCATTCTGAGACCTCATGGTAAGCCACATGCTTGGCACCCCACCACTGCTGTATTCATCATTTATTGAGGACTGGCTTTTGAAGCTAGACACTTTACACTCATTGTTGTACTGGCTGGTTTTGTGTGTCAACTTGACACAAGCAAGGGTCATCAGAGAGGAAGGAGCCTCAATTGAGGAAATACTTCCATTAGATCCAGATGTAAGGCATTTTCTCATTTAATGATCAATGACAGAGGGCCCAGCCCATGGTGGATTGTGCCATCCTGAGTTCTACAAGAAGGTAGGCTGAGCAAGCCATGGAAAACAAGCAAGCAAGCAGCTCCTGCCTCCAGGATCCTGCCCTGTTTGAGTTCCTGTCCTGATTTCCTTCAGTGACAAACAGCAATGCTGAAGTGTTAAGTCAAATAAACCATTTCCTCCCCAACTTGCTTTTTGGCCATGGTGTTTCACTGCAGCAACAGAAACCCTAAGACAACTATCCCAACCATTCGTAAGCAATTTTGCATGATAGATTATTATCTCTATCTTAGAGATAGGGAAAAGGGATTAGCAACTAAAATATGGCAGAACTGATGTTCCCAACATGACCTGCTATGTGGGCAAAGGATTAGGGATGTTATATTAGGGTGTTGGTGCCCACACTGGTCCTCCATGAATGTACATTTCAAAAAGGCTTCAGTTATAAATTATTCACTTTCCTCAACTAGATGAGAAATATAAAATATATTTTACTTCACATATTCACAAATTAATTATGAAGCTTTTAAATACTGAAGTATGTAAAGGTCAATTATTCACTTTTAAAAAGTGCTTTTTATTTATGTGTTTGTGGGCATGTGCATGTATGTTTGGGTGCTTCAAAAGCCAGAAGAGAATGTTAGATTCTCTAGAACTGGAGTTAAAGGCATTTGTGATCCAACCTGATCACAAATCAGGGACCTGAACTCAAATCCTCTGGAAGAGCAGTAAGCATTCTTAACTATTGGGCATCCCTCTAGACCACTACATTCACTTTAATAGTCTCTGAACTACTTAGCAGAACTATTAGTCCTTGTATCAGCAGATCAGTTCATGATACAGCTCTTCCTAACATACAGAGGCTTAGGAAAATAAGCAAAGGCACTGACAATGCTATGTTGGTGCTTCATTAACTGAGCAAATTTTCAGTATAAGATGCAAGCCCTAAATTACTACCTGCATATTCGTTATGTTTACTATTGACTGATTCCTTCACTAGATAGGTTTTACCTTAGAGAAAATTAAAGCATTTCTAAAGGCTAAGTAAACCTCAAGCTATCAATTAATACTGGGATGGATTTAGAAATATCAGCATAATCAAAACAAGTTCACTGTTCTATAAATGACATCCTCCTCCTAAGGATATCTCAGAAATACTTTCTTTTATTAAGAAAGAAAATTACCTAAAGATATAGGGTTGTGAGATGTCTGTAGCAGTCTTTCATTGTGGGCCTCTGCCAACTTCTTCAGTTCAGTGGACAAATATACAAACATTTCCTGAAATAACAAAATACCACATTTAAAAGTCAAATAAACACAACTCAACCTTAATATAAACTCTGACTAGTATGAAATGTATACTATTTACCATCTCCCAGGTCTCCCCTTTGCAGTGAGTCAGAGCCCCTGCAAACAGCAGACTGGGGGAAAGGCAGCTCAGTCCACTTCTGGTCTTGGCCTATACTATAACTCACCTCTGCAGAACGTTCAGAGTTGATACTTCAGAATTATTTTGATGGGAAGGGCAGCTTATTGTTATGTTGCCCAGGCTAGAGGCAAACTTCCGATCCTCCAGCCTTAGCTTCCCAAGTAGCTGGGATTTAAGTATGTACTGACACATCTGGCAAGAGCCATCCATTTCTGGACACAATATCAGCACAACAGATGACTGCTCTTCCAACTCTTCAGCCCTATGCACCATTCTACACAGAAGTCCTTCCATACCATAATTAGTTCCTGTCCTTCTCAGATGACCTCCTCCTGTAACTACTAGAAAATCTCTGCAACACTAAAATGTATCCATTTAGTATGCAAGTTACACAGTAAGTGGAAGTTTAGAAAGTACACTGTCTTGTATGTTTGTACTCGTGTGCATCCCCAGTCAAACTAGGGGCCTTGTGTGTGCCAGGTAAGTGCTCTACCTCTCTGCTATATCCCCAGCCCCAAATCTAGTCTGTTTAAGGTACACACAGATAAAATTAACAATTCTCTTAACTCAGTTCAAAGACAATAACTAAAACCAAAACTTGTTCTACTTTGCCAATAGTAGGAAATACAATAAATGTTTCTAAATCTAAAGTGTCACACATACAGACACAGCAGTATAACTGAGTCAGCAGCTATTTAAACTGAAAAGTTATTTTCTTCTGCCTCTGCTTTTGAAAAGGTGCAAAAACGAAAGCCTACCCAAGTCCATCTGCAGTTGGATGAGTCTTTCACTGACCTCCACCCATGGTCAAACACTTCTAAGAGTTCAAAGGCCACAAAAGCTGCTTCTGCTTTCTCCCTAAGGTAGCTCTCTCAGGGCAGCTTTTTAGGCCTAAAGTCCAGAGACAATATATATTTGTCCTGCTGACAAAATATATGTTATATTCTGACCTAAAATATTATACTAACAACCATTCTTAAATTTTAGGATATTTTATAAGAACAATTCTTAGCATGTCATAATCATGAAATATTAGCTCACTTAATTAGTTCTTTTTATAACCAAAAATAGTCAAAAATCACAAATGTTATCTGTTAGCTGTGGTAAGATGTTCTTGTCATAAAAATGTTTATTATGCATAAATATATTTTATATAATATATATAATCATGAGCTATTGAATGTATAAATTATCTTGAAATATTTTCTTAAATATTTCATGTATACTTGTGTGCCTGGTGCTTCTGGAGGCCAGAGGAGGCTGTTGGATCCCCTGAAACGAAAGCTTCAGATGGCTATGAGCTGCCATGTGGGTACTAGGAATCGAACCCAGGTCTTCTAGAAGAGCATCTCTTCTATCTTTATTTTCAAGTCTTTTGTTCTTTAGTTTACTTTCAACAGCGCCTCCATTTTCAGAGCTGTGTAGAGCAGTAACTCCTCTAGCAACTAATATTTTTAACAGGCTATTTTTTTCTGAGCATATTTATTAACAGTCAACATTTGCCTATTTGTCAAAATAAATCCCTATGTGCAAGCTATGCTTGACAATGACAAGAACAATTGTCATACACAACTCCCAAAAATCTGCCTAGTATTGAATGATCAGTATTCTATTTTATGTAGATAGCCAAAAAGTATATGGAAAAATGTTTCTGCTTATATCTTTTTTTTCTGTGTAATTTATAACTTCATTAAACTATAATTAAACATAATCTGAATTTAAAAATTTGAGAAATATTTAAGACAACTGTGGTCATTTTCAGAAATGAAATGGAAAAAGTTATGTAAAAAGGTATCTTTTCTTGAACATTGTGCAAAAGATTTTATTGGATCATCCACAAACCAATATTCTAATACTCCTTCAAAAAGTAGCACACGTAGGAATCAAATGGAGGGGCTGAAGAAATGGCTCAGCAGTTAGGAGCCCTGGCTGCTCTTCCAGAGGTCCCAAGTTCAACTCCCAGCAACCACATGGTGGGTCAGAACCATCTATAAATGAGATCTGATACCCTCTTCTGGCATAAATGTGTACATGCAGATAGAACACTCATACATAAAATAAATAAATCTTTAAAAAAAATCAAATGGAAGTAAAAATACCAAAATACCTAGAATTATAAGACAATTAGAACAATTCACAATCTCTTACTACTGCATCAGTCCCTAAAAGTAGAATTCATGGGGTTTTTGTGTGTATTTTCATCTGCTACAAAGTACATAAGCTGCTAATTTTACTTATTTATTTTCCTTCCTTTTTTTTTTTTTGTTTGTTTTTTGGTTTTTGTTCTGGTTTTCTAAGATAGGGATTCTCTATGTAACAGTCTTGGCTGTCCTGGAACTCACTCTGTAGACCAGGCTAGCCTCAAACTCAGAGATCCACCTGCCTCTGCCTCCTGAGTGCTAGGATTAAAGATGGGTACCACCACCATCCAGCAAGTTGCTAATTTTAAATGCTCTGCACTTTTTTTAAAAAACAGCCGCTTCTTTCCACATAGCTATGAGATGCTAATGTCTCATTATCTATACTATTTACTAAAATCCTAATTTCTATCAGTAGCTCTAACACTTCCAAACTCTCACTAGCAGCCAAGAAATGCCCTTTATAGATCCCGATGTCCCCCTATCAACAAGGCAACCTTCACCTTTCATTTATTATTAAGGGCACATCAAAGAAACAAACTTCTTCAGTTTATGTACTTTAGTGCTGAAGCTCAATTTAAAATAATCTTCTATCTAGTGTGGCCGTCACATATGTAGAGTGGAACCCAATGAGTACTTAATTTGTACCTGAGCTAACTTTTTCTGAAAAGTTACCTAGAGGATACCTGCAAATATGCATATATGGTTATTAGAAAACTGAATTTGTACATGTTCAATTCTAATCCATTAATACTTTCAACCAGCTCTAGCAATCACTGGCTAATGCCAACAAATTCAGAGATTCAGCTTTTATTTGTTGAAACCTGGTCTCACCATGAAGCTTAGACTGTCTTGCCCTTCTGAGTGCTGGGATTACAGATTTATGTCTCCACCCCTAGCCAGAATTCAGTTTTAACTGTAACTAACATAAGGAGAGCCATCTTTGTTATAATCATGAGGCAACTAAATCTCATATATCATTGTGTTAAAGTAACTCAATTTTTAAAAATTATTTTCAAATGAGGTTCATATTCAATAGCAAATATTTACAGATTCTTTACTAAATGTAGATGTTGTAATAGGTAAACTAATACCACAAGTGTAATATATTGAATTGTACACAGTCCATGTGTTAGAGTACTAAATGTCCTATTAATATCACCTCACTTTAAAACTATCCTTCAGAGGATTGTATGGCGATCATCTGCTAACACTGAGCTAAGCAGTTTTTACCTGATGCATGAAGGTGCTACAGAACTTGTACTATTTTCTGCTACAGTTAGATCTATAACTGACATTTATTATAAAATACTTCTGTGATGGGAGAAATTTATAAGCAGCCCAAGCAAATGTGTATAGAAAGATCTTACTTACAAGAAATGAAATAATATTGATTTTCTATGTCCTTTGTGCTGTATTTAACTTAATTTTAAAAGACTCTCACTACAGATAAACGGAACTGTATACCTGAATGCTAATGTCAGCTATATTTCTAGAATAAAAACACAAAACCTTATACTTTTCATGAAAAAGGAGCTGAATTATATTAAGCATTATCTTTTGTATGGTCTTTGGATTGCAGAATGATCTTCAATCAAGAAACCCAACATCTAGACCATCCCTCACTAGAATCTAGATGTGCACAGTTCATCAAGCTTCCAAGAAAATGTCTTAGGCTATGTCTGTGAAACATGCTGTGTCATGTGATGGGGTAGAAGAAAAAGTATGTTCCATGTCTGTCTCAGAAGGTAAGGAACCAAAGCATAGACAGGTGGACAACAGCACGGATACATATCCACATACACAGATGTCCACAGCTGAAGAACTTATTATTGTGGTCTCCACTGTGGCTTCAACAAGGCTTGCCTCAGTGGCAAAAACACTGCCTTCAAGATGCTGAAGCCTCACATCTAGGCCCCAAATCAGACACTGACAAGAGATTCAAGAATTCCACTTTTAAGGCACAAATGTACTACTTCTTCCAAATTTAGCCCTGTTTTAAGCCACTGAAGTTACAAATCTAGTGCTCTTCTAGAACATGGTTTGTCCTCTAAGCTTCAGCTCACAAGTTCTAGCCCCAGAACAGCAATTCTACTACATCCCTCTTGCCCAATCCAGCAGACACTTGCAACAATAAATGACCATCTGCCATCCTGGTCAGCAAAGCATTCTTCTACAAGGAGAGCTAGGCAGAATAATGGGCTTCTTGGGAAGCAAAGCAGAAGTGAGGACAAACTTCTAAGGCTGATCTTTCTTTTTGCATAAAAAAAAAAAAAACTCAAAACAGTCTCTTGTATTTTAACCTCTCTTCTTCAATGCCTCTTCGTTAAACTCCTGGTCATTCTTCCCTCCATGAAGCAGATGCACTTATCAGGAAGGGGCTAAGGGCAAAGAGGCTCAATTCACACACAAAGTTCCACTCTCTTATCCTTTCACCCTTCAAAAAGCAAAGCTTGAGAAAAGGAATGGCTTCAAGCTGAGTTCTTGTCTGCTTCTATGTGACAAAGGTAAAGCCTTTTCTGAAGAGATACAGCTTGAAGAAATAACCTCTAAAAATACCATTGTGGGGAATAAGGGCACAGAATAAAAAGAAATCCCAAGTTTTCCTTTAACACTCCTTTTTTAGTTCACATAACAGCAATAACATAAAAAGGCGCTCTCAGTGATGGTTTATAAATAGCTCTGGCTGGCGTAAAATAGCTTTGCCTCAGCTTCTCCACAGCTGAACCAATAAACTACCATGATGAACTGTTCACAGCAGAGAGAAGTCCATTTAGACAAAAAAGGCTCATTCTGCACCAAATCCAATAATAGTAAAAAAAACAAAAAACAAAAAACAAAAAACCAGTATTTATGCTACATATACACAATTGTCATTATGGAGGACATCCACATTTTCCATAGGAAGACATACTGTGTGAAGACATTAAAAAACAATTTCTTAATATGCAATGCCTGAGTTCTCAGACCAGTATTTTAGTATTCTAGAAATTACTCCATTAGACAGTCTTTGTTCTAAGTAATTCTATACAAAGAATTTTAAATAAAATCAATTAGTGCATTTGAGAGCCTCTGGGGTTTTAAATACCTCCACTAGATAGAATGGGAGGGTCACTGGATCAATCATCATCTTTATGGCTCAAATGCCTAGAAGAAAGATCGATCCCTCCCTCAGTGCTATATCAGTAACTGCAAACATGAGAAGACCGTAGTAAGACAACATACACAGGAGCCTGAGCAGCAGTTCTGGGACTTGAAAGTGGCCAGCCAGTCCTTGAGCAAGTTTGTCTTCTCAGATCACAATTTCATATGCAAAATGGAGACAATTCCTACACATGAACTTGATGAATACTACATCAAAGAATGGATATAATGAATCTAGCAGAGGACCAGTGACATGGCTTAGCAGACTGAGCAAGCTTGATAACCCGAGAACTCACAGTGGAAGTTGTCTGGAACTCACAGTGGAAGGTGAGAACCAACTCCTAAGTTGTCCTCTAACCCCCACAAGCATGAACCCATCACCTTAGAATCCTGAATGATATGAATAAGGTTTCTCTAAAGACTTGTCTTCCCTGAGTAACAACAATATATAACAGTGACTACTTTATGGGAGTAATAAAACTATACTTTGATTCTTACATATAAAAGTTTCTTGTCTGGTTTAACAAAGTACAATTTATACATGGTAAAACTTCAAGTGTCCACTTTCCAAATGTTCACATTTCTGAATTTTAATAAACATATACAGCCATAAAACCACTTCAACTAAAGACATAATTGTAAGACATTTTTCCCACCCTAACCTCCAGAACTCATCTGTTTTTCTGTCCCCGTCTCTCTCCTCTTCCAAAGTAGTGTATTGATGAAACCCCATGAGTTTTCTGAGTTGGGCTTATGTGGTTTATTTGCACTTGTGTTATCATTTGCTGTGTATCTGTAGTTGGATCTGTCTATTGCTAAGGTCAGATGCACCAGTGTGTCCCTCTGTCCATCAGATGCTTCTGGTTTGGGCAATTATAAACTGAATCATTATAAGCACTTAACTATAGATTTTTAGACAAACTCAAGCTTTCATTATCTTGAGCAAACAACTAGAAGCAGAATAGCTGCTTTGTGTAAATTGTGTCTAACTTCTAGGAAGTTGCCACAGTATGTTCCAAAGCTGTGTTGCACTTTATATTCTTATCAGCAGTGTTTAAGAGTTTAACCTGCTTCAGATCTTCAACAGAGTTCAAGGCTGTCAGGTTTTTGTTGTTTTAGTTGTGTCTTTGTTATTGCACTAGCCATTTCCAGTAAGTGTGCAATGGTTGCTCACTGCAGTTTTAATTTGCATTTCTCTAATGAATGATCATGTAAATCTTAAGAAATATTCTCACAATTTAAAAAGTAAACAACTACTTTTCCATGGATTAATAGAGAAAGGAAGATTGGAGTAAAATGCCACAAAAATGTTAAACATTAAATTTACTTGAGGAATAAGATTGTGAGAGTATCTGTGAGATAATAGTTACGTCCATGCTTCAAAATATGAAGTACATTGAAGGATTACAATTGCTAGTTGGTGCTATAAGGAAATGCTATGCCAGGGGCTTCTAAGTAGTCCTTGATTGAAGACAGATAAACTCTTTAATCTGACCTGACCCATCAATAATTATAGAACTGTTCCGAATGAAGCTTTTCTGTTAATTTGTTTTAAAAGATTGTATCTCACTATGTTGACCAAAATTCCTGGGCTCTAGTGATCCACCTGCCTCAGCCTCCTGAGTAACTGGGACTATTACAGGCCCACACCATCAAGCTTATGACTTTTTTTTTTTCACAGCCAACGTAAGTAATGAGTCCAACATTTTAGTAATGATGGAGAGATTTATTATTTTAGTATAAGAAGGTGTCCGACTCCTACTAGCTCTTTCATCTAGGACTAGCCCTTCACACCACAACAAGCCTGCAGGCTTCCAAATCACTCAAACAAAAACTTTTCCACTAGTCTTTCAAGAGAGCCTCTGTGCCAGCAGTGGTGATGGATGCCTAAAGTTCCAACACTTAGGAAGCAGAGGCAGGACTGCCTAGTGTTAGGGGAAGTTGCCACAGTATGTTCCAAATGTTACAGTATGTTCTGCAATATCTACATAAGCAAGATCCAGGCCAGTTAGGGCCACACAACAAGACCCTGTCCTACAAGAAAAAGCAGTGCTGGTAAGACTGCAAAGTAGGTAAAAGTCAAGGCACCTCCTCTTACTCCTGATGACCTGAGTTCAATTCTGCTCCCATAGATTGTCCCCAACCTCCACACATGTGCCATGGCACATGCACATGAGCACACAGTAAGTATAAAAGAAAATCAGTTAATAAAAATTAATAACATAAAAAGGAGAGTCCCTCTACATCTAGGTGATAAATGAACAAATAATTCCCAATACAGAGGTTTCTAAATAACAAATACTAATAGTAAAATAATGCATCTGAACTATTGTTCAGCATATCTGGACAGACAGGATGATTAGCGTCTACAGGACAAATTAGAGATTAAAAAACCCAACAGTGGCTCCCATATGAGTCACACAGGCTTAAACACCAGCACTCAACAAGGGAGCAGACCTCACCTTTCTTTCCTTTAACAGCTTCTTGTAGCCATTGCAGCCAAGTGACAACAAGGTGATAAGGACATCTAAGGATGGTGAAGCTGAAGCTCTTCCTAAAAACAGATAGACAGGGCATATGAAGGAGGACTGATGGGGGAGGTCTGGAAATTAATTCATCACAGCAGGCTATGTGCACATGCATTTTTGTTCATTGGTTATTTTTTTCTGGAAAAACAAGTTATCTATTTACCTGGATACATCTTGCTGATTTCCTGAATGAAGGAATCATTAAAGCCAGCAATTATAGCACCACCTACTGGAACCATAAAATTTTTGTCCAAGCTCTGAACGAAAACGTCGATTCTACCAACCCGAGACCCCTAGAATCAAGTAACACATGGGTCACATGTTAGTCACTAGTACAGATAACAAAACAACTACTATTAACAAGCAAAGGTCACAACAAAAATGATGTTATACAAAATGACACATTCAATTTAATTTCATTCCCACATTTACAAAGGCTAATTTATCTTAATTAAAAAGTAAAAATAAGTACCCGTAAAACAGTGTATAGACATTCCTTAAAAAACAGGTGAAGGGCTGTAATTTTCTTTGTAGCAGTGCAAGTCTAGGGTTTACATAAGTGAAACACAGCTTTGGGCGGGCTCGTTATATGCCCAACATCCAGCACACTACAGTGTATGGTAGCTTTCACAAATCAATCACCAAACTCATAAACTCCATGAAGCAGGTAGGGTTTCATTACCAGTGCAAGAGGGAATCCCTCTGAAACAGATTTTTACCTTAAAACTGAGTAAAAGACAAAGCATTTCTCCCATGTCTCACATCTGTTACTTTTATTTGACAATAAGGTCTATGGTGATTAAATAGTTTTAAATACTAGCATCACAATCTAATAAACTACAGGTGCCCAAAATGCCAACCAAGTGGCTAGAAAATGAAGTGCCTCTCTTTGACATTTGGGACAATCTACTAACTTTTTTCTGTTTTAGGCTTGCTGTTTGTTTTATAGTGCTGGAGATTGACCACAGGAGCTTTATGCAGGCCAGGCATAAAACACCAAGCCCAGCCTTTAAACAAGCTCTGATCACAAAAGAGGAAAGTCCAATTTTATGTTTATCATCAACCAATGGCAATTTCATCTGTATATTCTGGGCAGTTCCAAAATCAATGCTTCTCCATAACTTGTGATCCTTAATGTTGTGATATCTTATATGGTCTCATTCCACTGCCAATGAACTTCAAATGGAAGTCTAATATCCCAGCACAATGCTGAACACAGACCTACCAGAAATGTGGAACCAAGTTCTGCTTCCCATCCGACACAGCTATGACCTTCTGTCTAATGTGCTGTAATTTTCTCCTCTTAAAAATGAAGATACCATCTAAATTTCAACTCATAGAGTTTTTCCTTTATCTGCAGCCACAGATTTTCAATCTGTATTCACAATCCACATTTCTATTAATATTATAACCACATTTGACCTTCATTTTCACACTTCCTCCCCACTTTTATATCTCAGGGAGAATAGAAATCACAGATAGCTGGTCTAATCTGACAGACCAGATGTAGGCAACAGGTAGAGGTGGCAGAAGCTGGGAGGGGAGCAGACTATTCAGAGACTATCACTTGACTGTTTCAGCATTATTCTGGCCATGATTCTTACTTCCTAACAAACTATGAGCAGAAGAAAACCCACCTCACCTCAGAAGGAGAAAGCAGCATAAACACCAACAGAATAAATGATAAAAAAGCACAGCAAGTGGTGCCAGGTGAAAAGTGGACAGAATACTGCCTAGGCCTTCTGAGAGGAACCTGAACCTCACTCAACTGGGAGTGGGAAGACTGAGGAGGAGGAATCGGTGCTCCAGAGTGCTACACGAGGCCTCTCACAATCCATTGTAAGAAAACACTAGATCTCAGAAATGTCCAAGGGCTGCATGCCTCAAACATGCAGCTGTCACTAAGAAGAAAACGAAAAAACCTAGCAGGGAGGAGACTGATGGGGAATAGGCTGCAACCATATTTTGGTAGCTCACACACTAATGGGAACTCAGAAAATCTACTGAATGAAATAACAATCAGGCATGTGGCTAAGTAGCAGTAACATCCACTTTACTCCAATTGTTAATAACTGAAGTCACTGCTTCCCACACTTTGGAACTTCACATTCCACTCTAAACAGTCAATCCCACACACATATTTTTATAGCTCTCTATTAATCAGTCCTAACATCTCAAATTAGGCATTTCGGTAAACAGAATCAGAAGTGTACTTCTTGAGACTTTGTATGCACAACAGAATATCTTATCTGCTCAGAACCAAGTCATTCTGGAGCATCATTTGAAAATGCTAAGACATTTCAAGTATAACTGTTTTCTTCGCAATTATGTGATTATTGTGATACTGCTTTCTCTGGACTTGTGGTTTCAATGTGTTGTATTTTAGGCAAATGTGGAGTCCTGGTGTCAGACTGCTATACAAGCTATTCTGAAGCTATTGGACCTCAGGCCAATCACGTAAACCACTGAGTGTGTTTTCTCATATACAAACAAGAACAATGAAAAGTACACCTTAACTTATTAGGATTAGTTTAAGAACATTAACAGCCTGATCAGATGCCTAACACACATGGTGGCTCCTTGGTAAACTAAATTATCACAGCTGTAAGTGAAAGTTAACTATTTAGAATGTCATGAAATAGCAGTCAGAACTTAACAAGACCTATGTATTTATGTTGTTTAAACAAACAACGCCATGACCTCTCCTCATATATGCCAACCCACAGAAATATTTATTTACTATTTAAAGACAAGTTGATTTTAGAAGGTTTTATAATACCTACAAGACAGCATGTGTATTTGAGAAACATCACACACACACACACACACACACACACACACACACACACACGGGCCAAAGCTGGGTACCAGGAAGAGTGGCCCCAAAGACACCTTTCACATCAGCTCCACAACTGCTTCCCTTAGTCTTGCTCTCCATAAGCATACCACCCCACTTTCAAGTACTCAAAAGTAAGCTGTGAGCCCCAGAACCCTGAGTACTTCTCAATTAGGGAATAACTGAGAAAATGACTCATCTGGGGCTGCAGAGATAGCTCAGCAATTAGAGTGATTGCTGCTCTAGCATGAAGACCAGAATTCCTATCCCATCACCCACCTATGTCAGCTCACAAAACACCTTTAACTCCAGCTCCATGGGATGTAATACCTCTTCTGGTCTCCCCAGGCCGTCTCTCTCTCACTCTCTCACATACATAAAATAAATAAATCTTTAAAATGATGTGTATGAAGACAATATAGTCATGTGGAAAGTATAAACATATAACTAACAAGGCTTACTTTGTTAAATATACAAATGACTACAACTATGTGAAAACAGAACATTCACAGAAACAGAAAAAATATTCATTACAAATGATAGAGGTACTTAGAAGATAGTTAAGATTAAAAAAGAAAAAACAATAGCTATGACCCACCTGCTCCTTCCTTTTATATACTTTTAGAGATGCTGATGCATTTGAATTTTGAAAGCATTAAAGATACGGAGGGGGTGGGGGCTGGTCGGTAGTGGTGCATGCCTTTAGTACCAGCACTCGGGAGGCAGAAGCAGGCAGATCTCTGTGAGTTCAAGACCAGCCTGGTCTACAAGAGCTAGTTCCAAGACAGCCTCCAAAGAGAAAACCTGTCTCAAAAAAAACAAAAACAAAACAAAACAAAACAAAAGGATGGAGGGGAAGCAGTGAGATGACTGTGGTTAAAGGCACTTGTCACCAACCCTGATAGTCCAAATTCAATCTCTGGAACCCATATGGTTAAAGGAAAGAACTGACACCTACAAGTTGTCCTCTGACCTCCATATGTATGTTATGGCACACATGTGTGTGCATGAACGCACACACACTAAGTATTAGAAATTAAAGAGAACAATGGGAAAAGGGAGGCAATAAAAGTGAGTCATCCATGTAAAGTGTTTCCACAAGTTCCAGCACAGAACACTGTATACGCTGTATATCTTTCTTCTGCTCCATATGCATCATACACGATCCATCTAGACCTGTGAGGCAGCCTTGAAAAGTTAAGGAATGATGAAAAGACACCAAAGAGAAGGTAAGAGTGAATAAGTAAAGATCATAAGCAGCAGCTACCAAAAGATTCTTTAAATATTGGAAAATACTTAAATGTTTTATATTTTTAACATTTGAAAATGTTTATATATTTCCATGGTTCATTCTTACTCTTCCTGTTTTCTTTTTCTTCCATGTAAAATATGATCATCAATATAGTTTTTGAAATACTGTAATTCAATACATTAGAAAAATGAGTATCCTGGGTTTAAAAAGAAAAATCCCAGGAAGTTAAGAATGCTACTGAAATATTTCTATGTTGATTCAGGACTATCAAATCTATTTCCCAGGGGCAGGAGAAATGGCTCACCCAGTAAGAACACCTGCTGTGTAACCACAGGATCAGAATTTGGATCCCAGAACCCACATGACAAGTCAGACATTTCACACACACCTAAAACCCTAGCACCAACAAGGGTGAAGACAGGAGGACTACTGGGGCTTGCTGGCTTCCAGCCTACCTGAGAAAATTCAACCCACAGGCCCAGAAGAGACCCTGCCTCAGCAGAATAGGAGAACAATAAGACACTCAACACCCTCTTCTGGCCCCCAACTGCACAAACAAGCACACAGGCATGCAGACACATAGGTATGCATACACTTACACAGACACAAGTATATACATAAAATATATGCATAAACAAATCTTTAAAAGCTACTATCCAATTACCATCATACTACCTAGGAATAATGACTTTTACTAAGAGAATACTGGATACAAGTTTCTAATGCTCCCCAAAGTAGAGAGCTAAATAACTTTCACTATATTAGGTTGTAGGAAAAAAGTGATAAACCTATAGTATATAATATTAATATAATAATTCACCTGCTGAATGAGATGCATGCACTTGGAAGACTGTAATCCATAAGCGTTGTTGACTACATGCGGAATGTCATACTTAGCACAAATCACAGCCAGTTCTTCTAATCTATAAACATAAACATTTACAGAAAGACATACTCATACTGTGCTTTATAAATAATTATGGAAAGTTTTTATTAATAGTCTTAAGGTATATCAAGGAAAGGAAGAGGGGAATGACAAACGGAATCCCCTCTGTAGTATCTTCACATGTAATTCATCAGCCTGGAAATAAATAGCAAGCACGTTGGAAAAACTTAGAAAACCTCTTAATGTTTCCAATAAATGAGGAAAAAAATATTTACAAAAGCTTATGACTTTGCAGGCAGAAGCAGAGGGGATCTCTTTGAGTTTGAGACCAGACTAGTCTACCATACCAAGTCCAGGCCAGGGATACCCAGCAAGTTCCAGGCTACATAATGAGACCCTGTCTCAAAGGAAAAAAAAAAAAAAAGAAAGAAACCAACAAAAAAAGTTTATGATAGTAACTTTTAAACAATTTCCAAACTTCTTACATACAAACTTCTTACATACAAAGATTAGATGACACCTCATGAAGTGCTGCAATCCTCTTCTTCCCGATTTGACTGCTCAACATAATGAAGCTAGTACTGGCAAAATAATAAGCGTATCTAGAAACCCTAAGAAATCTCACAAAAATTTTAAAAAAATACACTTTCAAGTAGACCTTAATTTTTAAAAAGAAAAAAAAAAGCGGCTGGATGGGGGGGCTACATCCTTTTAAAAATTGCTGGCTTAAAATCTACCCTTCTTCACTCTTTAGTCTGACACCTCTCACATAAGACAATTTGAAAGTCTAATTTATGTTAAGTATGGTAATGAACCACAACACAGCAGAGGTTCCTTCTCAAAATCCTATATTACTTCTGACCAAAGCCACCCATAAAAAAATGTCAGCATACTGCAAAACTATAATTAAATCATGCAATGCAATTAATCTAATTTTTTAAAATGTTTTGTTTCACAAATAGAATTTGGAAGCAAAGCATTTTTATGTTTCTTTCCAAAAGGAGGTACCTAAAATACATGGCACAGGGAGGCAGAAGTAAATGGATCTCTGTGAGTTCAAGACTAGCCAATTCTACATAGCAAATCCCAAGCCAGTCAGAGATACACAGCAAGACCCTGTCTCAAGTAAATAAATAAATGAGTGGTATGCATGAAATATATTTTTTCCTAGATGTGAACAAGTATGTTTTAAAACTATACATGGGAATAAGATCATGTTCATTTGTCAAACTTTCAATTTGCTTCCTTTAAGTATTATGAATTGTGATTTGGACAATAATGGCCCCCAACAGACTCATACATTTGAGTGCTTAGTCATCAGGAAGTCAAATTACTTGAGAAGGAATAGGAGATGTAGCCTTGCTGGAGATGTGTCACTGGGGGTGGGCTCTGAGGTTTCAGAAGCACAAGCCAGGCCCATTGTCTCTTCTTGCTGCCTGTGGATCTTGATATAGAATTTCCAGCTATTGTTCCAGCACCAGGTCTAGCTGCATGTCACCATGCTCCCTGCCATGGTAATAAACTAAACCTCTGAAACTGTAAGCAAGCCCCGATTAAATGTTTTCCTTTAGAAGAGTTGTCGTGGTCATGGGGTCTTCTCACATCAACAGAACACTGACTAAGACATGAATAAAACATAATTTTTAGGGCTGGAGAGATGGATCAATCAGTCAGTAAAGTGCTTGCCTTGCAAGCATGAGGACCTGAGTTCAATTCCACATTTAAAAAAGTCAGGCTGGCACTGTGTGCCTATAATCCCAGCACCAGGCAGGCAGAGACAGAATGATTTCTGGGGCTTGAGCACTAGCCATTCTAACTGAAGCAGGAAGCTCCAGGTTCAATGAGAGACCCTGTCTCAAAGAATAAAGTGGACAGTGATAGAGGAAGACACCCAAAATCAACCATTGGGACACACACACACACACACACACACACCTGCCTCACAATCAATACCAAAATCACTTCTGTTACTAACAAAATAGACTTTGAACACACACACATATATTCTTCACGTGTGTGCTGTAGTGAAAGAATTCTCTGATAACTTCCTTGAAAATAAAATACCATAATATTAAAGTTATTTTAAAAAACAACTTGTAAGTAGCTTTTAAATGATCTAAATTAATCCGATGTGTTAATAGGTCATAAAAAGGTATTAAATGAAAGGCAAAGAAAAGGAGAAAACAGATTTTCCATGTGAATCCCACTGTATTCTAAATCAGAAGCTAATTTTAATAGCCACCAAAGGTAACATTCTTTTACATGGATTTCATATTATTCAATACTTCCTAATAATTGACCAATAAAAACAAAATAAATGCTACACCACTAAAATTAAGACTATAAAATCAGAAAATCAAATACACTACTAACTTTACACTGACATTTTCATAAACTTCACTCATCAAATGCATTCATTACATCATACAACTAATGAACAACAAATGACGACTTGCTGATTTTTAAATTCTCCTGATTCTTTTTCTAACAGGACTATGTGTAAAACAATGCAGCACTACACACACTGAAAACATGGCTCAAAATGAAGCAAAACTCCCCAGAGAAAAATAATTCAACTAATACAACACCTACATACTTGCTGTTTTGAGAAATGAGGATTACTTCTATTCATTAAAATTTTCTAGATATCAAAATTTTTAAGGAATACCATTTCTTTACTATTTCGATAGAATTTTAAAATGATTGGTCATTAGTAAACTACTACAGCATATGCAACATAATTTTAAAACAGCATTCATAGGCTCATGAATGACCCAAGGCAAATTTTCAAGAGCACGGCTTCAATATGATCTTTTAAAATTTGCCTGTAAGATAATAAAAGCTAACATGTGGTTATCACTGCCAAACCATGAATCCACAAATACAAAAGTTTAGCAACCAGAGTCCAAAGTTACACAATTCTTATAATTATTAGCACTTCTGTTAAAGACGTTGAAATGAGACCAAACCAGAGCTTCTGGCAAAAACAGAATTTCTGTTAATAAACTTAAGCCATATGACATTTTCAAAATTAAAAAAAAAAAAACCTGTGGCTACCCTTTAGAAAAGGGGACATCTGCCACCCCATGGTTTTAATTTTCTAATTTATATTATCATCAAAATGTGGACAACTACTATACACATCTAGCTTAATCTCCCAATCAAAGAAATGTAAATAATCCTAAAATACTTTATTTATAATCTATTAGAGATGATAGTTCCTACTTAGCAAATGAACTGCAAAGCCAAAGAAATAGAGATAGGAAAAACTATTAAGCCAGCAATTCACTTGGAAAAGCTTAAGCAATGAAGAAAATGACACTGAGACGGCAAGAGCAGGAAAGCAGACAAATAATATATACTAAGGTTTGGATAAGCAGATCTGCACCTCCATATCAGCTGTTTTTTCTTCAGTATCAAGCTTCTCCAACCCACTACAATAATTCTGCCTACAGTCAACCTATTCTCTCAGGCAAATATATTCACTACTTACTACCAAATGTTATCACAACATGCTTAAGAATTGGTGAACACAATTTATCCAAAAGACTGGTAAAGCAAGCATCTAAAGACCAATATTCACAAGTCAGTTACCTATCAGGCACCCGTGGAGCAAAACAGGATGTAGTAGAATGAATGCACAGAATATGATCAGGCTCGAGTTCCTGGACTTTAGCCTCCACTGCATTCAGGTCAGTGCGCAGCTCATCGCCTTCCAAAACATTTTCTATCACCACAGGTTCAAAGCCTAACCAAGTCAACCAGAAATCTAAGCATTAGTGTCAATTAAATGCAAGATGACTCTAGAACTCTAAGAAGCAATGCAATTGCACATAAGAACTCTAAATACTTATTTAAATGACAAGCTTTTCCTTTAGAAATAAAGACAGTGGCTCACTGTGGTAGTTTGAATATAATTGGCCCCCATAAGCTCATAGGTAGTGGCACTATTAGGAGTTATGGCTTTATGGGAGTAGGTATGGCCTTATTGGAAGAAATGTGTTACGGTGGGGGTGAGCTTTGAGGTCTCATTTATGCTCAAGCCTCACCCAGTGTCTCAGAACACTTTCTCTTGCTTGGACATCAAGATGTAGGACTCTCAGCTACTTTCCCACACCATGACTCAGCCTGCCAGTCATCATAATGATAATGGACTGAACCTCTGAAAATGTAAGTCACCCCAATTAAATGTTTTTCCTTTTTAAGAGTTGCTATGGTCATGGTGTCTCTTCACAGCAAAAGAAACCCTAACTAAGACAATCAAAACTGGCATTAATCAGAAACAAGTCAAAAGGGTATGAAGGACAATTAGACAACAAGACTGGCCCTTTAGCACTTTGAAATGACAGGGACCAACAGATTCTATAAAGTAAGGAAAGCACATGTTAACCAGAGGTCTACAGAAGTTAATTGCTCAGGTGTTAGTAACCAAAAATACTACTATTCTCTAGTTCAAGTTCTATCAAAAACAGAAAAAAAAAAAATGAAGCCTACTTATTCTTTAGAAACATATCAGTTTCACTTGTGTTTACTTTACTCAGAGATAGACAACAAAATTCAAGTATTAAAATAAATCACACACATAAACTTTGTTTTACCACTGAAGAAAATTAATTTGTTTCCTGGAGATTACTGACTCATCTCATGGCCCAAGAGTCCTTTGGATTTTTAATTAAAATATTGTACTTAACTAGCACATAATTAAAGATCACCTCACAAATAATTATGCAAACTTTAATGGCAAATATAAGTATACATAAGCTTACAAGTTGCTAAAACAAAATATGTGCTAAGTTTTATGAATACTACAATTTCTTTAAAGCATGAATTTGGTGCACATTTAATTTTTCATTACCTAGCTACATAAAAATCTTGAATTTTCCCATTGGACATTTAAAACACTACATATGCTGCATGTCTTTTACCTGCAGTGACCATGGACTTAAAGCAGGACTTCTGGTCTATCCGTGGCCATATGATATACTTGGCCTTTGGTCTTTTGTGTCGTAATGTTAAAAAACACAAAGTTAGACTCATACCGGTTGCCATAGGAACTACAAAGCAATTGGCCACAGAATGAACACCTACAAATAAGAAATAAAGCAATTTATTATCCCATCTAAAAAATAAAAACAACTAAAAGTCAACATCCTTCTGGAAGAAATCATACATTATACATTTCAGTTATAAAATAAAATGGCCTGTAACTTTGGTGTTTCTCTTTCTCATTTGATCTCATGAAACTTGTTTTTAAGTCATTCCTGGGGTTATTTTCTGTCTTGGTCTGAAATAGGTTTACACGTGTGACCTCTTAAAAGCCACTCATATTGTTTTTGAAGAGTTTAAATATAAGAAACTAGTGTGCTGTTTACTCACAAGTCACATTATGATTGACATAACACATACCGGCCAGCTTTATGACATCAAGCACCAAAGAATTGGTAATTTTGTTCAAGAGGCTAGAGCCTGCAGCTTTTGGTTGCACAGCAGAAATATCACCAGATCGTCCAATTCCATGGATGAACCTAAGCAAAAAATGGACCAAAAACTGTACAAAGACACTCAATCTTCAAGTAATCAATACATAGGTTTGCAAATAAATAACCAAAAACTAGCAGACGCAATCTTTCACTGTATTTGTACACTTCAGTTATTACCCAATGTGGAATAATCTCCAAAGACAATCATATCAATTTCTTTTCTCCTGTTGATCCAAACCAAGAAAAAAATCTAATTCTCTCACATATCTAGATCCATATGTAGGGCTGTCCTTACTGACATGATTGACTGGGAAGAACATAAAAATAATTGTCTGGCGCCTCTAAGTTCTAGAAGGTCATAAGGAGCACTAAAGTCTTCATCAGATTTCTTGAAGAGTTTGCTAGTGTGTACTGCCTCTCAAAATTCAGCTGCCATGTTGGGAGGAGCTCACATCACAGGAAGAGGCAAGCTGAACCCTCAGTCATGGAACCAAGTCATCTTTAATAGACTGCCGACTCTACCCATCAACAAAACTACACTCTTAGCTGACATTTGACAACTACATAAGAAAGCCAAAACACTCAGCAAACCGGGAGAAATAGTGATCCTTTTAAGCCACTTAACCTTTGGAATGATCTGTTTAAAAACATGGTACAGGAAACATCCTACTCCCTTTCCTTCCCCCACCACAGCAGTGGGACAGATTCCAACCTGAAAGAACTAGTGCTTCAGAAACTGTCCTAATTTGCTGATGGTGGTCTTTTGAGATGGGATCTCACTAGGTAGCACTGGCCAACCCTATACTTTGGATCCTCCCTGTTTCTGATAACTGCTGGGATTACATGCAGTACCATCATTCCTAACAAAAACTGTCCTAATTTTTTTTTTAGTTACGTTTCTTGAAAATGAGTGTACAAATCCACTTGCCTTAGATGGTCCTATACACTTACAGATGCATCTGAATGCTCTTTAAAATAAAGAAATAATCCTTCTGTAAATTCAATCTCTTACATTCAGTTAGGTCAGAAACTATATAAGGAGAGTATCATAGAGCACTAGTGCTGTACTTCCTTATGAGCAAACCTTATATATACATGCCTTCTACATAAATTATATATGAACCATGCTACCACAGCACTATTAGACAGGAAATTTACATCCATACTCATTATCAACAGTTCAAACTGCAAAAGTTTTTATTAAAATAAAAAAAAAATCTTAGTGTGCCTCAAAAAGTGCACCTTGATTTAAAAATCAAAATGGTTTTTAAGAGTTCATATTTCTCACAGAAAGGATAGTAGACGGAAATAAACAATCATATCCAAAAGCACTATCAATTAATAACTCAATTATTTTTGCCAGGCAGTGGTGGCTCATGCCTTTAATCCTAGCACTCAGGATGCAGAGGCAGGTCTTGAAGAAAAAAAGTAAATAAAACACTTTTCAGACTGGATTAAAAAAAAAAAAAAAACCTTTCAAAACTAATGCAAATAATGTAATTATCTAATACACTTGTTCCTCCATTGACTGCAACAAAAACAAAAAGGCACTTATAAAATGGAATTCAGATACTGATAAACCAAGCTTTCAAGGTCATTAGTCTCCAATAAAACCTGCAAGTTAAAAAGGAAATATGGCTTGGTGTGGTGACATACATCTTTAATCCTGCCATTCAGGAGACAGAGGAAGGTACACCTCTATAAATCCAAGGCCAGCATCATCTACATAGTGAGTTCCAGAATAGCCACAGTTATAGAGTGAGACACTTACTTTTTTTTTGTTTTTTGTTTTTTGTTTGTTTGTTTGTTTTGTCTTTTGTTTTTCAAGACAGGGTTTCTCTGTGTAGCTTTGGAGCCTATCCTGGCACTCCCTCTGGAGACCAGGCTGGCCTCTAACTCAGAGATCCACCTGCCTCTGCCTCCCGAGTGCTGGGATTAAAGGCGTGCGCCACCAACGCCTAGCTAAACAAAGCCTTTTTTTTTTTTTTTTTTGAGACACTTAACTTTTAAAAACTAAAGAGAAAAAAGAAAAGAAAGACGACTATGATGTATGTCAACTGAAATTCAAAAACTAAACAAAAAAAGGCCATACCTACATTAAACATTCTACAGGGCTGTCTGAACTTCTATGATTGTGGCAAGTTGTAGGTATGTCCAGAACCAAAGTGTCTTCCCTGTGTGAGACCTGTCACCTCCATGACTATTAGGTAAATCCTTGTGGTATGGACAGAGATCCTGTAATGGATTTCACCTACCTAAAGGCTATCTGAAGCTTACAATAGGATTTCCTTGCTTTGCTGTTAACTGGCCTACCTCCATATTTCTACTAGTGTATTTTAAAAGTGTCTTAGCCTATGATTTTCTTTGTTCTGTGACTATTTTATTGTAAAAATTTCATGAAATGGTTACACCAGAACATATGTGTGGCACTTGTCACTTACATGTATCTTTAGAGTAACTCATACTCCTCTGAAGTAAATTGTGTGTTTTGTATTGACAACATTAAGCTTTTGGACCCAAAGGGATTTACTAGTTAAATATTATTAGAACACAGCGCTGTTGACCATGAAGGGTCTAAAGGGAAACCACCATATATTAGAATTTCATCTCTGTCATGAAAAGCATCTGCTCAGAGTTCCCATCTCCTGGTTCCACTTGATTTCCATGCCCATTTGCAGAGGGAAGAAATTATCTGTGAGTGAAAACTTTTAAGAATACCAACACCATCTTTAAGCGCCTCCTACTCCCTGGAGGGGGGCTGTGAAACCCAATGTTTTCACAACTAGTTTAAGAAACGTACCTGTAATGACGACGAGCAACCAAAGCAGAGGCCACTCTCCCTTCCCTTTCTCCCACACCACAATTACCCAAGAAATTGTTGCTATCCATGATTGCAAGTTCATGAAGAAAGACTTCAAGTGTACTTTCATCCCAGCCATCCTCTGGACACTTGCCCTTAAAGAAAAATGGTAATGATATTTATATTCAGGAAAATTATCGTTCCCTAAAAGCCCACATCAATGTACGTGAATTTTTTTAAATGTGTTCTGTGTTGTGCCCCTTGATTCCTCAAATCAGAAACAAACTTAGCAACTATGGAGAAACTGCCAGTTGACCAAACGTTCGTATTCTATTTAACTACAAACTAGAGATTGCAAATTGACGTAATACACTCAAGTTTGCTAGGATTCTTAATAAAATCTCAACTAAGTTTGGGTAACTGGTAACTGACAAGACAATGCCCTCAAAGAGGCGTTTTCGAACTAGAGGCTGTCAAACTTTAGGGGCACTCAAGTTCAGGACTACAGTCAGGAGCCAGGCCTGCCTGAGACGTCTGGCGGAAAGCTGCCTTGCGGGAGTGGGTTCACCAAACACACGTCCCCCGAGTGGCCCAGGCTGGCCGAAGACCTGGACTTTGGCAGTTTCAAAACAGAGTGAGGAGTGCGCTGCTCCTCCTCTCCCCACCAGTGAGGAGTGCGCTGCTCCTCCTCTCCCCACCCGGAAGACGCAGAACCCGGGCGCCGAGGCAGGGGAATACCTGCTCTAGTAGCAGCTGTATGAGGTGCTCGTGCGCACGCCGAGCCTCCCGGCCCTGCCTCACGTA